TGTTTATCCGGCTCTGCTTTTCCCATCCTTCGGTTTTAAAATTTAATACACCCCCCCCCCCCAAAGCCCCCCAGCCGCCGAGGCGTGGGCTGGGGAATTCTGGGAGTTGAAGTCCACACGTCTTAAAGTGCCCAAGGTTGAGAAACACTGAACTGGATACAAAAGAGAGATGCATGTTCGGTGTAAGTCCCTGGTTTTGTCAGCAAAATGCTGGGAAGTCCCCTTACACCCTCCCCACCCCCAGACATTAATTTGTCTCAGAAAACTAATGCCTCCTAGTTTAACATTTCATTTCAGCTTGAATTGTAAAGCCCTTTCCTTCAGTACTGAATGATTCTTGATAACATTCTGGGAAGTGAGAGACATGTATCCCCTACATTATTACTACTATTTTTTTAGAAAACAACTTCACTATGATATCTGCTGAGCACACAATGTGTTTGGCTTGATTAATTTAGTTGTTCATGAGCAACGAAGGGGGCAGACAAGTTGCTGGGTGGAAGGCGCTGTAAACTAGAGACACTTCAAATGAGAACAACAAATCCTGTGGTCCAGGACACAGAACTGGAAAAGTGAAATCGCCCAAGTGTTAAGCGATTGAGAGAAGAGAAGATTCCCCAACCAGTAGCCTCTGATCAAAAGAGGCCCTGGAAAACAGGAAATGTGTTCCAAATATTAGGACTTGGGTTTTACAGCTGGAGACACTCTTTAGAGCAGCTTCCTCAGCCTGGTGGGCTGCAGATGTGTTGAGAAAAAAACCTGTCAGGCAGCCGGGCCAGTACTGAAGTCTGTGAGATGTCAACTCAACACTTTGGAAGTCCAGCAGGTTGGAGGATCATGACCCTGATGTACCAGGTTGCACTCAATGCCCAAGTCTGTCTCCAACAAGATGAAGAGGTAAGAGCTCTGGGCAAGGAACCCTTGTCGAGACCCATAAGAAGGATGTTCTGGTATTGACCTCTCTGTCCTACTGAAGAAATAGAGAGGGCTCTGGTCAAAGGCAAGGGGACATCCCCTGGTCCAGCTCCCTGGACTTGTCTCCAGGAGGAGAGATCCAGAGAGATGTTTGTATTAGATCCCTTGGGGCACAGGCCTTCATTCCAGATGTGCAAAGCTGGAGACATCCTTTTCAAAAGCATCTGGCATCTCTGATAGAAATGCCACACATGCGGCCAGCGATGCAGCGTGCGACAGGGTGAGCGCACATATGCATACCATCTGCAAAATCTCTGCTTGGGATGCTTATAAAATCCCCCCCCCAGCCCCTCACAAGCCTTAAACGTCTCTTGTTGGGAGCTGGGATGTGGGTCTCCTCTGCTTGCTGCTCCCGCTTTTTATAACCAGCTGCTCTCTCACTTGTCTTCAGGATTTCATTTCAGAATCACGCCGAGTTGTTGCCCCAACTTAGCCCAGCATAGCCCATTGCACCAAACTGCTTTGCTGGCCTGCCATGAAATAAATGCCCTTCCAACCAAGGGTCGGATCAATCCTGGTAGAAGACAAAGTGTTTAAACTTCCAATTTGCTGTATAATGCCAAGACTCTCAGCCGCCCCACACAGGCACACTCTGAGGGACCCTAACAGCCAGCACAGGCTGTATCCTAGAGAAAGTCTTTTAAGTGTTCCATCCTTTCACTCAGACTCTGGGATGAAGCAATGAAAGGATTAAAGGGGAAATAAAGAGGAGGGGAAGAAACAAGGGAGAGAAAAAAGGATGGAAACAGAGAGGAGGGGAATTAACCCCCCATTAAGTACTATTTCTCTTTAACTGACAGTGAAGAGGGTGCATATAGAAGTCGCTTAATCCATGTAATCAGTCATCATCATCATCATCATCATCATCATCATCATCATCTTCCATTTGTCTATAAACAGGAATAATAATAAGGGGATTTTCCACTTTATAAACAGGAATAATAATGACAACAACAATAACAACAATAATAATAATCTTCCATTTGTCTATAAACAGGAATAATAATAATAAGGGGATTTTCCCATTTATAAACAGGAATAAAAAAATAATAAGATCTTACACTTTATAAATAATAATAATAATAATAATAATAATAATAATAATAATAATAATGATATCTTCCACTTGTCTGTAAACAGGAATAATAATAATGATAATGGGATCTTCCGCCTTATAAACAGGAATAGTAAGAGTAATAATAATATTGGGATCTCCCATTTGTCTATAATCAGGAATAAGAATAAGGGGATTTTCCACTTTATAAACAGGAATAAAAATAACAAGAATAAGAACTTCCCCTTTATAAACAGTTATTATAATAAGGGGACCCCCAACAATAATAGTAACCGGGGGACCTTCCACTTGATAAACAGGCATGAATGATGATCACAGAAGGAGACTTTCCACTTGCCGACAGACCGAGCTTCAAAAGCGTGTCAAAAGAAGTTTGGAAGTGCCGGGGGTGGGGCGGGGGGCAGGGCGAGGGCCCCCGACTTGCCCCCTTCGCGAAGGACCCGCTCCGGGAAGGAGAGAAAGACCGACTTACTGCGAGGAGGGGGACAGACAGGTAGAGCGCCCGCCGGGAGATGTCAGACGCCGCCCCGGCCGAAGCGAGATCGGAGCGCGGCGCTCCGGGAAGCCCAGCGGCTGCTCGTAGGTGCGCGGTGGCTGCAGAGCCGGGCAGGAAGGAGGCGAGAAAGAAAAACTCCCCGCTCCGAGAACGAGCAAATGAAGACACGCCAAAACATCGGCGGCGGCGAAACGGGACGCCCCCGTCTCTTTGCTCCCTGGCACGGTGGCCAAGGTTCCCCAGCCCGTCTCTCTCTCTCTCTCTCGCTCTCTCGCTCTCGCTCTCCCCCCGCCCGCCCGAACGGCTCAGAGCGAAGAGCTGCCTGGCTGGGAGGAACCGAGCGGAGGAAGGGAAGGGG